AACAGTGGTCGCCATTTTGTTTTTCTGGCAGCCATTTTGGAACTGCCGATCAGCTGGCCAAAAATGGGGGCTTTGTGATGATCGCTTCAGCGTGATCATCGCAAAGCGATTTTTCCCCATAGGGGCCATCGCAAAGCAATCACTTTTGCGATCGCAAAAACAGCGTCACAAAGTGATTTCGCCGTAAAACAGAGCAATCGCTAAGTGAGGCACCACTGTAATTCATTTCAATTACAATAGCTCTAAAAATCCCTAAAAATCTCTAAAAGCTTTCTTAGGGTAGACAAAAGGCAAAAAGCCCCCCCTTTCTTTCTTCCTTGTCTTCCTACATTCCCCTCAGTCCTCTACCTGCACTGGGCAGCAGGCAAACAGACCTAGCAAAACTATGATGGATAAAAATAGCAGAACAAAAGAAAGAATCTCATCACATAGGAAAAGTTCCTTTTTGAAGCTTCTTGGAACCCCCGTTCTCCTCCATCTCTTAAGCTGTCATCCAATTGCGGCATAAGGTTATGGAAACAGTCCCTCCTTCTCTTCTCATGAGAAACAGGTGTTGTTTTTCTCAGTCCATCGCTTTCTATGCCACAACAAGTGTCTGGTCTTCTTATCTTGTAATGGCTTGTCCAGGCCTAAAGGAAAATCATTCCCACAGCCCCCTGGAAATACACTCCCAGCATGCAAAATCCTTCATACACAGAACCAATATGGAATCCATTTTACATTGTTCACAACTACAGAGCCCATCTCCAATACATTATTTAAACCACATAAATCAACCCATGACAAGCTGCATCACAACAAGGCCAATACAATACTAATAGTCTTATGATGGCTGCAGCAGGCTTGGCTCACTACACTCATGCACATGGCAGCAGACATTTTTCACCTACCATTGATCCTAGACCTGTTCATGCAATGCAAGGACATAGTCCTTCTCAGACCTACCCCACTTAACAGCTTGGAAAATTCACCTGACCTGAAAATAATAATTTTTGAAGTAAGAAAGCCATATATCAAACACAAAATGTATGTATAAATGGTGGAGATTTATCCACTTTGCTAAATAATTGCACAAGTTTTACCTTCTGCTGCATATAGTGTTACATTTTTCCTACATCCAAAACAGAAAGATCTATCTCATTCCTCTATCAAAGTGTATGATTCAGCAGTTGTTGCACATCAGCCACCAGGTTCAGCAGCGTCACATTTCTTCAGGCACCCAGTTCTTAAGAGGTCTTTGAAGGGTATGAAAAATATTTATCCAGACATCAGATCCTGCTGATGCCACAATAGTCACTTTCCTTGGTGGTAATTTATGAAGCCACCGTTTGAAGCCATGGCTTTTGCAGATTCTAGGCTTCTAACTTACAAGACATATTTATAGTCATTGTCACTTCTGTACATAGGACTAGTGAGTTCTGCAACCTCAGTTGTGATCCATCTTTCCCACAATTTCAAAAGGATTTTTGCTGTGTGCCATCAGGTGACCTCTGGTTTGTGGTGACTCTATAAATGAGACATCTACAAAATGTCCAATCCTCAGCTTTCCTGCTCTATCTCTACTCTTGTAAACTCAAGCCTGTGGTTTCCTTCATGGAGTCAATCCATCTCATATTTGGCCTTTCTTTTTTCCTGCTGCCATCTACATTTCCCAAGATTGTCTTTTCTAGAGAACCGTGCCTTCTTACAATGCACTCAAAGTAGGACAGCCTCATTTTCAAAATTTTTTACACTAGAGATAGTTCAAGCTTGGTTTGATCTAGGACCCACTTATTAATCTTTCTCTTAGTCAAGGGAATCCACAAAGCTCTCATTCAGCACCATATTTCAATTGAATCATTTTTTTCACTGTCAGCTTTCTTAACTGTCCGTTTCACACCCATACATGGTGACTGGAAATGGAGCAATGTGGATGATCCTGGTCTCCAGTGACACATGATTGCACTGGATGATCTTTTCTAGTTTCTTCATTGCTGCCTTTCCAAGTCTCAGTCTTCCACTGATTTCTTGATTGCAGTCTTTCTTTGGATTGATGACTGAACCAAGGTATATAAAATCTCTATTTCAGTTTCTTTATTATCAGTGCTAAAGTTGTGTAGTTCTTCTATAGTCATGATTTTTGTACTCTTAATATTCAACTGCAGCTCTGCTTTGGCACTTTCTTTCACTTTTCCTAAAGGTTGTTCCAAGTCATTGCAGCTTTCTGCCAGTAAGATAGTATCATCTGCATATTTTAAATTATTGATGTTTCTTCCTATATTTACACCTCCTTCATCTGAATTTAGTCAGATTTCTTTGTATACATTCTGCATACAGATTGAACAGAGAAGCATAGACTGATTTTGTTCTGAAATTCTTTTATGCTCTACACCAGTGGTTCTTAATCTTTGTTAGGTGTTTTTGGACTGCAACTCCCAGAAGCCTTTACCATCAGCTCTGCTGGCTGGGGTTTCTGGGAGTTGCAGTTCAAAAACACCTGAGTAACAAAGGTTAAGAACCACTGCTCTACACTAGCCAACAGATATTTCCAATATTCATAAGGATAATGTAACATTGTTGTCTGACCTCTCCTTCTTATGTAAAGTGGTCTCCAAGTTCCATCTGAATCAACCCTTGTTGCTTCCAACTTTCCCCATCATCTACTTTGGAACTGTAAAAGTTACTCTACACTTTGGACGCCCACAGAGTGTTAGCCTTCTACACATCCAGAAAAAGGGACTTGAGAAACTCCACTAGACTTTTTGTTAGCTACCATGGATCAAAGAAAGGTAAACATGTTTGTAGCGATCACCCTGCCTATGCATATGTATGAGTGTATCAGCATGCACCAATAAGAGTGTTGGCAAGCAGAGCCAGTGGAACATAAAGGGAGGGGTGAAACAAATAGTAAGAGCAGATAGTCAGTGGAAAAGCAGTTAAGAGTGTGGAACTTAGAGAGAGTCAAGTGTGGAATAAGTTATTACGGAACTACTGAAAGCTTTAATGTCTTTTAGGAATCTACTTAAATGAAACTCAAGATTTGAACTGTATCCAATAAACATGGTTTTGTTAAAAGTTACATACAGTATGGACCTCGGTCTTTCCAAGTAAATAATGTTGACAGAGATCAACTGGTGGCAGCATAAATAAGAACGTGCTTGGTTCTTATTGGTGTACAGCGGTGGGATAAAAAATAATCCAGTGAAGCCAAAGTCTGAAAGTGGATTTTCTGGAGTTGTGGGTACATTTTATTTAGGATCTGTGGTAAAGAAATGGGTAACCTGCTAGAGCTTTTGTGGAAAGGCTTAGTGGTGGGGCTTCTGAACCCAGGTCTGGGGTACTTAAGATAGGGAATCGACTCTAAAGAAAACTTCTTTTTACCTCAGGATTTGAGAGACCCAGTGGGCAAGCACAAAATCCAGAGCTCTGAGAGAAATGGAACGTGGTGGATAAGAGTGGAAGCCAGGGTCAGGACAGATCTGAGGGGATAGGAAAATAAAAAGCTAAAAAGAAAATTATTCTGGTGTCTGTAGGCAGGGATTGTTCAGACAAGGAAACATAGTAACGAAAGTTGTGAGGTGGAGAGCAGCCAGAGAGAGCTGCTAAGTAAAGCGCAACATAGTTACTAGAAAAACAGCTGAAAGAGAGGTCCTTTTAAAAACAGTAAACGAAAGTAAAAACCCAGTTCACTTTAACTCAAATATGCCCCCCAAAAGAACAAAAAAATCAGTCATGGAGGAAGTTGAACCTGAGGAGGCTCAGGGAAATGGAGACCCACAAGTTCAAGAGGAGGGATCTCAGGAATTTATAGTGATTGTCTCAGAGAAAGAAAGTGTTCTAAGCCCCCAGGATTTTGAAAGACAGAGGTTAGAACAAGAATATAAACTCAAGGAATTGGGAATTAAAGAGAAAGCCAGGGCTGAAGAGAGCTTAGGTCAGACAAATGGAATTTTTAAAAAAGTGAAATGCATTTTCAACTGGAGATGAGGAAATTAGAATTGGAGGCCCAGAACAATAACAATAACAATTCAACTGGTGGTAAATAAGAATGTGGTGTGGGCCTTAGATTAGTGAAATAATCCAGGGACACACAAGGGGCACGTTACAATGTTACACCTCAAAGACTGTCTAAATGAATAGTTAACACAATCACCTTGTCACCAACTAGCAGAGAGATTGCTGCCCAATTTCTTAAAGAGGCACTCTATTAGAGTAGTCACTATGTTATCTTTCTTTTTCAGTAAAATTTAGCTGAGAGAAATTAGTAGGACAGTGGCCTGGTCTTAACAGTCTAATGTTAATCAACCATTATAAATTGGATGTCAGGGCCAAGTTTGATGCTGCATTTGGTAGAGTGGTGATCTCCTCTGTATGATATCCCACCAGCCACAGTGTAACCCTGCTAGTCGTGCATATGTGTGATTTCACAGGGACCATGAAGAAGGACAGGTGGCTTACCTGTATTCTTTGAGTGGTCATATATGAATTCACAAACCCACTGTTCTCCCCTCTGTCTGCCACACAACTACTATTTTCTTATCTATGGTGGACTGGGAAATCAGGGCCTGATATGGGGTAGGGAGTATGTGCAGTGGAGAAGGAGTGCTTTAATACTGGAAGGTCTCAGGGTCATTTGTGCAGGCACAAAAGGAGCCCATATGTTTGAATTCACAGATAACTACATGAACTAGCTGAAAGTATGCAATCTTTTCATATTCTGGCATACATAAATGTATTGAATCTGTCCTTGCAAATTCTAAAAATGCCATCTCACTAGAAGTGTCTGAGGTTTGCCTAATAAACTTCTAATACAGGGCTTTTTGTTTGTTTTAATAATGTGATGTTTAGCTCAATAGAGTGATAATTCATGAAGACATGGAATATGGTCTGCATGTCACAAAAATGTATTTCTATATTGTGGTTCTTGTAGGTTATTTCATGCAAATATTCATCTAAACGGTATTCACCTTTTGATGTAGCTGAAGTTATTAATTAAAAATATATATTTAGTTTCAGTAGAAAACTTGGAGAAGAACCTAAAGCAAATGGAAAGGCAGCTTAAACAACTTGAGAGGGATCTGGAGACCTTTCCCCTGTCAGAAGATAATCATGACAAATTTGTGACAAAGATGTCCATATCCTTTTTTTATATTAAATAACTTATCTGGCTTTGTCTGATGTTCTTTAACAAATTTTAACTTTATTTGCATAATCCTTATTCAATTTAAAGCTATCACTTTTGACAAGCCTAACCTCTTTTCCACCTTGAATTACTAAGAACCTAAAATGGCTTAATGAAGATTCACATGTAATTCATGATCTGAAAGTAGTACTGTGGCTTCTCCAGTTATTCTAAATTTTCTTCATATAAATATAAAAGTACTTCATTAAATTAAGGAAAAAAACATAAAGTGCAATCTTTTGAGAAGTTGGCAGTTAAGCATAATAATTTTTAACTATAGAATACAGTCTACAGTGAGGTCTTGACTTAAAAACGGCTCGAGTTAAGAACATTTTGACTTAAGAACCACTCTCATAGGAAAATATTGACTTGACTTACATACTTAGATTTGAGTTAAGAACTGAAAAAAACCCACGTGGGAGGCAAGGAAAGTGCAAAATTTGAATTTTCAGTTAACTGTTGGCCAGTGAAAAGGGTGCCTGTCTGCTTCCTCACTCCTCCCAGCGTTTAGAGAGTGGATTGGGAGACAGTCTTCAGACTGCCTGGTACTGTACTGCCTGGACTGTATTTTCCCTGCCTTCCCTGAACCTTTCTTGACCTAAGAAAAAAAGAAACAAAATATACCCCTCTAGTGGTCGAAGGCGGAATAGCAGCTTCCCATTAGTTTCTATGGACGGAAAAGAGCAGATACGGATCAAATGGTTTTTAATGCATTCCTATGGGAAATGCAGATTTGACCTGAGAACTTTTTGACTTGAGAACCGCCTTCCAATACGGATTAAGTTCTCAAGTCAAGACCCCACTGTATTTTATAAATGAAAGCTCACTCTAAAGCTAGGAATAGCCATTAGATTGCCCATTTTGATTGTTTTCCAACCTGAGCTGATTACTTTATGCTGCAAATACAATGTATTTCAATTTCAATTGGATTCTACATTTCCTCTCATCATCTGGAACAGTCACTACCATTGTTCCACTACATTTTTAGGAGCCAGCATAATTAGTTTTGTGAATCGTGTGTGTTATAGCTGCCAGGTTCTCTTCATTCCCTAACCTCCATGTTTTCCAGTCTAAAATTACCCATGACTACTTTGCATTTGGCTAAGAAGCAACTAGGATAAGCATAAAGAAACCAAGACTGAAAGAACTGGGCATGTTTAGCCTTGAAAAAAGAAAGAAAGGTTATTTCCCTTGAAGAAAATAAGACATATGATAACACTTTTCAAATACTTGAAAGACTGTTATATAGAGGATGGGCAGGATCTGATCTCGATCATCCCACAGTGCAGGACATGTAATAATGAGATCAAGTTCCAGTTACAGGAAGGCAGATTTTGGTTGAATAGCAGGGAAAACATCCTAGCTGTTAGAGCAGTACAGCAATAGCACCAATTACCTCGAGAGGTGCTCCAACACTGGAGGCATTCAAGGGAAATTCAGATAACCACCTGGCAGATATCCTTCGATTTGTACTCCTGCACTGAGTAGGGGGTCAGATTCTGCCTGCTTCTTGGTGTCTCTTATCGTTGTGTCTTATGCCTAGTATCTTTGTTATTCATACCTGGTGTTTGTGGTGTGACATGTCGCTTATTGTCTATGTTCCTTTTCCTTTCTATATTTATATTTATCTTGGTTGTTTACATTTCAACTGTAAATAACTGAATGTTGCCAGTGTAGTAAACTGCTGATATTTATGAATAGAATTTTTAAAATGGATATCTCAATTGTTTCTTCCTGGGTAGCAAAGTATGACTCCTGTTAATTATGAGGCTGGCAAGCTGCTGCTGTGGCAGATAGTTGCTTTTGTTCTAAGTAATTGGATCTTTGCAGCTGCAGGAAAAGCGAGATGCTTTAAATTACCAAAGTAGTAAGTTATAGGTCCAGCAATTTCCTGCATCAGCAGATGACACTTACTGGTCATGTTAACATATTTAAATATTTTGTGGTCTAGGAGTTCTTTTTCTCAGTTGCTTTCTATTTCTTTATCAATTGTTTACACGTTCAGCTTTAAGTTATGAAAGATTATTTTACAAGGCAATGTTAATTTACATTGACTTTCCTTTCGGACTTTATTGTCGAGCTGGCTGATTGTCCTGCAGTAACTTTTAGTAAACTGCAGGGTGAGGTTCAAACCTCATTTTTAAAGCACAATGTACACTTTCAGGGTTGCATTCTTTATATTCCACATAATTATTTTACCATTCCCTACATACAGAATGTCAAACCTTGACAAATTCATTTTTTCCTGATAGTATCTATAATTGTGTAGATATCGCCCTTACTAGATTATTCTAGCTGACTGCCAATTAGTTTTATAGACTACATTACATGCAATTCAGTTCTTTAACTGCATGATTTTGTTTCCTGCAGTTAAACAGATAAATCAGAATATTGAAGACATTAATACAAAGGTTATGTGAAAAGATAATTAGAATTATGTCAAATATGTTTTAAATGTGCAGACGAATAAGTTAGACATCAGGTACTTTTGCAGCAGGGAAGTTTCTTTTTGATTATGATGTGAATGCATTATTTCAAAGCACTTTAAGTATTGGAATCTTCATCAATTAAAAAAGCAAAATAAATATAATAGTTTGAAATTAGGTATCAGATAAAGTTTTAGTTGAGTTAGTATTCTTGTGCAGTAATTTGCTTCTTTAAAATATCATATAAAGGTATGTTTTAGAAGATAGATCTAAATATTAATTTTATGAAAAGCTTACTAAGTGCAGGGATTGTTCAGAATATAAGAAAAATGTGTCTCAGTTTATTGATAAACTGACACTTTTGGAACAGTTTTTTTTAAAAAAACTATCTAACCAAGTTAGGTTGGTAACTTTGCTTTATTAATCATAATTATGTGCTTAATAGCCTGCTTCGGCTTGAAGGAATTTATAATGTAACTGGCTTGGAATGAAGATATAATATAAAATTAAATGGCTAGTGGGGCTGACTTGCTGTACTCATCCAGTCAGTATAAAAATGCCATCTGAATGCTCACTTCTCATTATATTTAGTGAAATAAAAAAGGTTGAAAATCTAAAAAAATCATAGAAGGTGAGCATTTGGAAATATTTCATCAGAAGTAGTAATTTTTCAGGATTGTTCTTCATTGATCAAAATCCTGTTGGTGTAAACTTATGCTGGCTGAAACTAATGGCACCTTCAGCTTGTTCTGAGGCTCCTTAGGGCTCCCTTTTGCCCTGGGGAAGACTTCAGGGGCCTCAGGTTGGCAGGCGGGTTTTAATCGCCCCTTATTGCCAAACATTTCAATCCCAGCATTGGAAATTTTTGGCTAAAGCTCCCACCCTGTCTCAAGGCTTCCAAAATCTTCCTCAGAGCAATGGGGAGTCTTCAAAATCTTCAAACCTAAAATGGGGGTGACAGGAATCTTTCACTTAATTTAAATTAAATTTTATGGTGCCAGCTGATGATGTCATCAGCTTCCACTGGCATAAACCCATTATTGACCAGTATGATACATTAAGTACTGAGAGATTTTTAAAGTCACTTAGGATAAATAAAATAAATAAATGAGGCCAAAAGTGGAAAAATAAAGAAAACCACGAAACAAGAGCACAGGGTAGTATTTTTTGAAAATTTTTAACATGAAATAGCAAAAATTCCTGTCATGCTGTTGCGTACTAGATAAGAGAAAAATTGTACCAGATATGGCTTTGCTGAAATCAAGATACAGTGGAGCCTCACATTGCGACGTTAATTCATTCCAGCGAAATCGCTGTTGAACAAATATGTCGCTATGCGATATTAAAAAGCCCATAGAAATGCATTAAAACCTGATTAATGCGTTCCTAGGGGCTTCAAACTCACAGTTCAGCGAAGATCCTCCATAGCGCAGCCATTTTCGCTGCCTGTTAAGCGAGGAATTCGTCCCAGAAAACAGCAGGCGGCCTTGTTTTTTTCCTGGTGGCCATTTTGAAACTGCTGATCAGCTGTGCAAAAATGGTCACTTTGCGATGATCGGTTCCCGAAGCAGGGAACCGATCATCGCAAAGCGAAAATACCCCATAGGAAACATCGTAAAGCGATTGCAAAAGCGATCTCAAAAAGTTCATCGCAAAGCGATTTCGTCGCTAAACGGAGCGCTCGCTAAGCGAGGCACCACTGTATATTACATCTGCAGCATTTACACTGTCTGCTAGGGTTACCCTATTAAAAATTCTCTTTATCTTTTTCTGTTTCGTATTGGTATATAACTGAGGAATGTAAGGCTGCTGGAAGTATTAATCTCTATTTGATATTCATTTTTTTTCTTTTAAAAGGACTCTACTGTTGATTCTGTAACCTTAACAAACCTAATACACCTTTGCAATTCAAGCAAAGCAGGAATTCCAGAAACTTGTTAGGTTGCATGACAATATGGAAAAACTCTATCGAAATGTGATGGACTATTATGCTGTTGATTTGAAGAAGGTTTCAGTGGAGGAATTTCTAATGGATTTGAATAACTTCAGAACAATGTTCATGGTAAAGTATATATAACCATAAAATGTTAGACTTCATAAGAATGTACACTGTCAAATACATTAATGCCTTCAACAATCAGTTACTGTTTACATTGCTGTAAGGGAAGATATGGTTTGTTGACATATGCTGGTATGCAAGACAGCCAGTTTGCAATATCGGTGAAAAATGCATGCATTTAAAAAAGCAGCTACTATAGAGATGGTTGGACAGTGTCATCGAAGCTACCAACATGAATTTGACCCAACTCTGGGAGGCAGTGGAAAATAAGAGGGCCTGGTGTGCTCTTGTCCATGGGGTCATGAAGAGTCAGACATGACTAAACGACTAAACAACAACATAGTTTTAAAATTATGCTGCAGTTCACTCCCCCTTCTGATATTCAGGAGCAAGTGTCAATCCTTGTATAGTCAGAGTAGCAACTAGAAGAGGAATAACTTATGTGCACAGCTATAGAAAACATTAACTGAAGAAATAAAATATGTTTTGTTAAAATTTTTACCAAAAATCCTGAATAGCATAAAATGAAACTGCTTGTTTGGATGAGAAGGAAAGAAATATACAGGAACAATGTATGGTGAGTAATCAGCTCTGTAAATGTGCTCATTCATAACAGTGGGAAGCACAGTGGGAGATGGGGAGTGGGGAAAGGGAGAAAAAGGGCCTGGAGTTGAAAGCTGAAGTTGAAAGGAAGGAAATAATAAAGTTACAGAACAAAAAAGAAAGCAGAAGAGAGGAAGGTAATGGGAAATGAACGAAGCCACAATAACAAGTGTGGGAAGAGAAATGGGAGGCAGAGTGAGTTGTGGCTTAAAGCGTTCCAGCAGTACAGGTTTCAATACCTCCTTTTTTTGTTTTTTCTGTTTGGCAGCCATACACAGCCTAACAAATGGAAATAATTCCTCATTCCTTTTTTTATGGCTCCCATACCTAGCTGAAGATCTGAATTCCCCTGTAAGATCCCTGGAAAACCTCTGCAGGCAACCGTAAGGACCAAAAGCCCCCTTTTGTATGTCACCATCCAGGGTACACCCAAGCCACTTTTTTTTAACTCACCAGTTCACGTTACTTGGTAGTTGTCTACAGTGCTCTCACTCCCATCTGAAATCCTGCTGTGCTGCCTCCTCCTCCCCCACATTCCACTTCAGCCCATCATCTCCATAAGTTAGAGCTCAGAATAAGCTATTTATGGGGCCAGTATATCAATACAAGGACATGGTGGCACTAAGGGTTAAACCGCAGAAGCCTCTGTGCTGCAAGGTCGGAAGATTAGCAGTCGTAAGAGCAAATCCACGCGACGAAGTGAACTCCCATCGCTTGTCCCAGCACCTGCCAAACTAGCAGTTTGAAAGCATGCAAAAATGGGAGTAGAGGAATAGGTACCAATATGGTGGGAAGGTAACAGCTTTCTGTGTCTAAGTCACGCTGGCCACGTTACCACGGAAACTGTCTATGGACAAATGCTGGCTCTATAACTTGGAAATGGGGATGAGCACCGCCCCCTAGACTCGAACACGAGTGGACTAAATGTCAAGGGGAACCTTTACCTTTACTTGTATCAATACAGGGAATTCTATCTGCCTTCACAATTTCTGTGTTGTGAGAGTATTCCAGTAGAGGAGAAGACTCTCTTTCACAATGAAAGCATACCTTTTAAAGGCAAAAATTCATAAGCAATATTTGTTGTAAGCCCCATTTATACTCCTGTTATTTTGTACATGTTTTTCTTTGCCTAAAGAAAAATAAATTGTGACATGTGAGTGCTTCTCCAATTTTAGCATGTATAAGAAATAATGTTTGTTTCACAAATTGTTATAAATAACCCATTCTTACCTTTTGCTGCTGAAAATATAGTACTATTGGTAGTAATTAGGTGCAACGTGTACATAAGGATGTAAAAACAGTACTTTTGCGTGATGTTGTCATTGAAATCCAGTGAGGTTCACAGAAATGGAAGAGTCCCCCCACTCCATCCTGTGTCCCCCATCAGCTTCCCCTGGACTATTATAATGATGCTGAAGGAGTTAGGGGAGAAAGGGGGTAGAATCAAAAAATCTTCACTCTTAATGCAATAGCAGATAAGACCTCAAGGATGGGTAGGCAGAGTTGCAGTTGTTTATTTTGAAATAGTCCTCCTTACTAGCTGTTATATTTCAGTTTTCTGGGTTTGAATGTTTATATCTGAAAGTAGGTGTACAAGATGGAATGGGAATTCTGTAGGTGTACCATCCACCCCACTGTTCAACAGTCTCTATTTCTGAGCCATCTGAACTGGTCTTAGACTTCCAACTTGTTGTGTTGGGGTACTCAACATCCACACAGAAGCAGCTCTGTCAAGAGTGGCTGAGAACTTCATGTCCTCCATGATGATCACGGCTCTGTCCCAAATGATATCTTGCTCTACACCTGGTTCTGTTTATTGGGGGGGAATTGAACTGGGTGTGGAGGAACTCTGCAGTTCTAATTTCATGGATAGATCACTATTTGATGGGGCTTAGACTCACTGAAACTCAACAGTCTTTGCACAGGTGGGGGACAAATTAAAATTGCTTGAACAGGCTGATTGAGCTGATTAATTTTGAGATGGCTTTTGAGAAGTTTCTTGTCACTTTGGCAGGCAGTAGGTTGACCTCAGACTGGCCCCCTGCAGCTTTGCCACTTTCAGGAAAGTCAGGGAAAGTCAGGGAAATGGAAATTGGTTAGGGAAAGTCAGGGAAATTGGTCTGAAGTCAGGGAAAGGGAAATTGTGATTAAAATATATTCAAGCAGTGGATTTTTTACCTGCTGCTGCTAGAGCATGATCTGTTCTTGTGGCAACTGGAATACAGAAATAGTAGACGGCAAGTAAAACTGAATGGTGCCCTTTCCCAGCTCCACCTTTTTCTCAACTCCCCCCCCCAGCAACCAGCCTAATGTGTTTGTTGAGCTCTGTCCCTGCATGATTTCCAAAGTCTGCCTGTGGCATTTGCAAAGCAAGACTAGTTAAAAGTTTAGCAAGATACAAACTTTAAAGATCTAACCTGCTAGTACTGCATTTAACTTACATATAAAGATAAGCATGTTTTTGGGTAATGCTTGTGTATGGAATAGACGTTCTGACACCTGCTAAACCCAGCACAGAGTTGCAAATGAGTTTTGCTGCTGTTGGATTTCACTGTCACCTAGCATTTTCTACTCTGCACCATGCAAAGTAGTTTTTTCAAATGTGATTGCTTGTTCCTGCTGGGCTTTACAGAGTAACAGCTCTCACCCTCTTCCCTGATTTCTCCCATGCATAAAGGTTGCAAATGAGGGTTACCTGCTTCTCTAGATTGCAGAAATGATCTGCAGGCATTTAAACTCCACCTCCGTTCTTGCTGCTGATCTCCTCATTACGCAAAAAGTGAAAAGGAATCTTTTCCAGTTTTGGAAAGTTCCTACTTGCCAGAAAACAAATCTGCTAACATCTTGGTGTCAGGCTGGTGGTTCTGTGTACGGCTGTATCTGAAACCACATTTTGAAAATGGCTTTTAAGAGAACAGTTAATATGCAGTGGCTGGATTTCAAACTTCATCCTGACTTCGTTCCATAGCTATTACCTGTTGCTGGAGACAAATGCAAAGTTTATTGTAAAATGTGCTTCAAAAAGTTTGAACTAAGTAATATGGGAAATAGAGCTGTGGAGCCTCATGCACAAGGACCATTACTTCAGAAGAACCTGAAAACTATAGCAAGTCAGCAGTCCATCACGATATGTTTAGGTTCAAAGTTGAGTACAAATTTAGATAGTAAA